TCTCAGTGTTTAAGCAAGGTAGTGATGGAATCAAGGAAGGGTAGCTTAATAAGGACATAGTAGAGAAGTTACCGAAGAGTTGACGTTCCAAGAAAGCCCATTTATAGCAAAATGGTGGCCCTAGGTCCTTTGACCCTTTTTAGTTGGTGGGGGGGGTACATTTGTTATCTCCTGGGATCCCCCAGCTTAGAGATGCCTGGTCAAAACCAATAATATTAATTGCATATATGATGAGTGAATTAAGCTAATTTTAGATATTTAACATTTGGTTGTAAGCAAGCATTATTTATGTGCGAAAACATTATAGTAAAATCAATTGCCAATTTCTTATTATCGTGGGTATGCCCAAGTTGTGAGTGTGATTGCGTATGCAGAGGTGGTTTCTGTGGTTCATATCCACTTTTTGTAATTCCAATAAAGAATAAATTCATTAGAAACAGTGTGGTTCTGCTAACCCCTTATTTTTTTGTGTTTATTTTTTTATATTTTATTTAATACATTCTATTTATAACATATCTTTTTTCATATTTCCTTCAAGTTGTTTTCTCTTATTCTGGTTTATTTTTTATATTAATTTGTTATTGCCCACTGGTGACCTTCAAAGAGGTAAATCTAAACTTCGTTAACAGATAAAAAGAGACTACTAGATATGTTATTTATATGATAGCAGGCAGGAAGGAAGACTACGAAATTCTCTTCACACGATTTGGTGGGGGTTTGAGAGTTGGTGTTCGCTGAGGATGTTTCGTTTGGCGGGTGGTGGGGGTGTTTGGAGATTTACGCATTCCTCGTCACCCTCCTCCGTCACGCCCAGCGGGTTGACTTTCTCGGGGTGCCGTTCTCCCCTCTGTCCCCCTTTGGCCCTGGTCCCCCCCGTGCCTGCATGGCCTCTGTCCGTCGGTGCCTTGCCCTGCGCCCGTTGTGATTCGGGGCCCGGGCGGCGTGCCCCTTCCCGTGACGCTCCTTTCCGCCCCACGGTCGCTTTACACTGGCGCCGCCGTCTTCCTTGGTCCTTTGACCCTGGCGGCCGTGTCCGCCTCCGTTTCCCCTCTCCTCTGTGTTCCTGTCAACCGTCCTTTCCCCTCCCCCCTCCTGCTTCCTGGCACGTCCTTGCCTTTGGCACTGGGTACTTGGTTGCTTGGCCTCCGTTTGCGGCCGCACGTTCCCTGGGTACCCCCCTGCTTTTGGCGGTCCCGCCCTTTGCCTTGGTCCTCCTGGTCTTTCTGTGACCTTCCCTTGCTTGCTGTTGCGCCGCCCCCCCTATTTGCCCCCGCCTGCTGTGTTGTTCACACCTTTCCCCCCCTTTCTGGCCTTGCTGTCCCTGTTTTGCCCCCACTCCACCTGTTGTCTCCCCGCCTGTGCCGGTGGCCCCCCCTGGTCCCCCGTCCCTCGCCCGGCCGTGTGTTTCAGTCTCCCCCTGCTGTTGTCGGGCCCATTCGTCGCTTTGGCTCTTTCTTGTTCGTGCGCCTCGTCGCCGGCGCCGCCTGACGTCCTTCCTGTCTCCTCCCCCCCTCCCCGTTGTGGCTGCTGTCGCGGCCTTCCCCGCCGTTTGCTCACTGTCCGCGCGTCTTTGCCTCCCCTGCCGCCCTAATCCCTGGCGTCTGTCCGCCTGTCCTCCTAGCCCCTGGCCGCCGAGTCCCTGTCCTCCTCTCTTTTTTCCCCTGCCCCCGCTGTGCCCCTCGGCCGCCCGCTGTCCCCGCGCCGTTGGGTGGGCTGGCCTCCCCGGCCCGTTTTGTTCGCGTTTCTTTGCTTTGCGCGCTCCGTGCCTGCCTGCGCTTCGTTGGCTTTCCGGCACCCTTCCTTCGCCCCGGGGTTTGAGCCTCGGGCACCTTGCGCCGCGCTCCTGCCTCCTCCTCCTTCCCACGTGCCCCCTGTCCACGGTTTTTCGCCCCTGCTCAGGCCGCAAGTTGGCCCCGTGTTGGGTTTCCTTTTTCCCTCTCCCTGCCCCTCCTGTCTCTCTGCTCCCTCTGCCCCGCCTCTGACCCCTCCGTGTGCCCGTGTCCCCGTTTCACCCATTGCTGTTTATGACTGTGTTCATATATGCAGCCGCCTAATAAAAATACAGATATGTGGTTGGATGAACAGTCACAAATTCAAACTGTGGCATCTGAAAACAACCCAACATATTACTTAACCTTGTATAGTGGGAGGGAGGCAGGCAGGTGAAACTTTCTTTCCAACTGACTGTCTGTGGGCAGCCAATTGAAAATGGGGGGGGCAAGACTTGCAGAAAACAAATAGAAAGGTCAGAAGCCATTTCAATACGCAGTGAAAGCCTATTATTTGCAGGAAACAGGAAATGAAAATGTTCAGCTAACAACATCTGGTTTCATTCTGACTTGCATCTCAATAGTAGGGCACAATTGTTAAGACTCTTGCTCTCATCCAGTGTCTAGTGTAGGGGGGCCATAGCATTATGTTCTATTTGTTTTTTAAGTAGTCAGGATATAGGAGAAAAAAAGCTTTAACAGGTTAAAGTGCCAGAACCTATTCTGTTTGGAGTGGCTGCTGAAAAGCTTTGTATTCATGAGCTAATCTGTTAGAGAAGTAAATTCAGTAGACAAACAAATAGAAAATATAGAACACTGTGAAACAAATAATGTGGCTTTTCTTGGCAGTCCAGCAGTTCAGTACTGTACTTCCATTAAGTTGGTGGCCTCAAATTGAAGCAGCAGAGGTTGACATATCCTTACTTTTAGCCCTTTGTATTTGTCACAACACTGGATCTTACGCTTCCCATATTGCAACTGCATTAGATCCTCCCTGCCTAATAAATACCCACACTTTTTATACAATTGGTGGATGGCACCTTTGGTTTACTGTTTGGCAGCTTGTTCTCACATAGTCCTATAGAGTAACTACAAGTCTTAAGTCGATTATTATATTGTAGCTAAAATGAGTAGAAACCAGATGGAATGTTTACATTACTCGTTATGTTGTTTATACCTGGCATTAACATGCGTCTTGAGTGATCCAGTCACATGAGGATGGCTGTATGTACAGGTGTGAATGCGCCCAAGATACATTGAGGAAGCACAGAGATATGATTGCTCAGACAACATTCAGAGGTGGTCTGGGCCGCATGTGACCACATTCGTTTGGCAGTGTATGGACAATGTGTCCTGGGCCACACTTAAGGACTGCCTGTTTAGCTGGGCCCCAGAATCTGGGTCAGGCTCACAGGATAAATCTGACGGTTGTGAGAAAAAAACATTTTTACTGCACAAACTTAGACTGATAGTTTGGTATTGATTGGCACTTTGATACTTTCTTTTCTTTATTTTGTTTTTAAATATAGAACATTTTAGCTCTGTGGCCACAGGGCTAATCACTCTTTGCTGGAACTACTAACAACTCATCAGAAATGTGACATAACACTTTTTGGGGGGGCACAAGCCAAAAGCCACTTAATTTAATCTTTATTCAATGCAATAGTTATTAAACGCTCATCAAGTTTTTAATGTAAATCATAAACCTAAAAACTAACTATAGTAACTATGGTTGTCAGGTAAACGTATTGCAGTAAAACGTACATTATTTCCAACTGAAATTTAGTGGAGAACACGTAAAATGAAAATACTCAAGCTAAGTACAACTACTTCAACATGTACTAACTGTACAATTGAGAACAGTAATCAACTAAGTACAGTGTTTGAGTAAATGTGCTTATGTGCCTTCAACCACTGCATGGATGACTGTTCCCCCAACAAGAGACAGACTGACACTGCAGTCTGGTGACTGCTCCTCAAATGGGACCAGCATTATCTCCAGGTCTGTTGCTAATAACTGAGTCAGTCTAAGCTGTGTTTTCTTGTCACAGTTGACATGTTCTGGATCTGCTTCAGTTCATGTCACAAATACATAATACACACATAATATCCTTTATACAGGTTTCCAGTTGGGATTGTTTTTAATTACATTAGTCTAGGATAGGGATCAGTAACCTTAACTAGCTATTTTTGGCCCAAAAAACCAAAACCAAAATCTGTCTAGAGCCGCAAAACATATTTGAGCCTTAACAAAGAGCAAGGTTGCCTACCTCTGGTCTAGAAGTCAGTCTGCACTCAACTCATCCCCTGCAGACTGCTGTCTGAGACTCTTAGTATTCAATGAGACAATTCAGCTAATGAAGTTATCCAGTCTATGCATCATTCTAGCCTCTTAAAGAGATTATCTTTACATTAAAGGCATATATTGTTAGTATCAACATTAGTACCATCAAAGCAACAAAAAAGTGCATTGCTTCTGGTTCCAGGGCTCTATTTTGCATTGAAAACTGCAGGACATCAAATGTTGTGTGTTGTATGTGTGTGTGTGTGTTTGCATCTGTGCGTATGCATTTGTGTGACATGTGTTAAGATTCAGGTGGTGAACCGAGGCCTTTATAAATAGTGATGAGGACAGATGGAATTCTCTGCGGTGAACTGTGAAGAAACAAATGTGCAATCATATGTCCAAGCTCAGGATGTTACAGAAATACTCATCCCGCTTGAAATCCTATGGGGATTGCTCTTAGCTGTATGCATATACATTCAGAAGATATTGTTAATAATGTCCAAGTAAGATATGTTGGAATTTATTAAGCTATGTTCTTATTCAAACTCTTGGCTGGCTTTATAGCATGCTTGTGGTGCACACAATCCTTAGATTTGAGATTTTCTTTCATGACTATCTAAGAGATTCTTTTTGCTTCTTTGTGATCTATTTTGACTCCCAGATCATAACCATGAGAGATTATGTTCCAAAAATTATTGGCTCTGAGTCTTTTGAACGTTACATTGGATCCTATGGGGGATATGATCCAACTACAGACCCGTCAGCCTCCAACGTGTTTGCCACTGCTGCATTCAGGTTCGGCCACGCTACCATCTCTCCGATCCTCAGGAGACTGAACGAGAGCTTCCAGGAACATGAGCACTTCCCCCACTTGAGACTGCACAACACTTTCTTCAGTCCATGGAGAATAGTCAAAGAAGGTCAGTACACTCTTCTGAAGCTGCCTATTGGAAGTAATAACGTATCCTTCAAGCACACTAAACACCATAAAAAGTGGAGGGAATAAAAATATACTCTATTTAGGTCAGCTTCAGCATTGACTGTCTGTCAGTGTAATTATTAGTTACATGCAAGTGACTCATGTAAGTTAGACCACTGAATAGAAATATTCTTTACTCTATTTCGTCTATAGAGTATGAAAGCCTGCATCAGTATGTCATAACTAGTACATGATACGGTGTGCTCCTAGACCCAGGAAACTCATCAGAAGGTGCAAAAACCCATCTAACACTGCAGGGACCTTTTCCATTAATTATGAGTACATTACTTATTTATTACTTATTTTATACTTTATACTTTTTTACTGTATAATATAATACTTTATCTGTCATATACAGATGCACTGTTAAAGGCATACTTATAGCTAATAAATTAAAAGCATTTTTAGATCTGCATCTTATTGTTTATGTTGTTTGTTTATGGGTCATGCTAACTCTGCTGTAGGGATTCAGAAAAAACAGACAGTAGCAAAACAAGATATATTGTGGCATTGGTATGATCATCAACAGCTTAAAACTGCAATAACAGATTTTTTTCAGCCACATGCGGGCAGTGGACACAAGTTTAAACACTATAATTGAACTTGAGATACACTATGTGGACAAAAGTATTCGGCCACCTGACCATGTATACCCAACAGTCGGAGCTGTTAAATCGACATTATATTCAAATACACTATGAGCCTCTTAAATATGGAGTTGGTCCCCTTGTTGAGCCAGGCTATAACAGCTTCACTTTTCTTGGAAGGCTTTTTCCACCAAGAATCTGTTCGGAGCTGTTTCTGTGGGACACTCTGCTGCGAACATTCATCGCTCTGTAGAGCATTTATGAGGTCAGGCACTGTTGTAACAAGAAGGCCTGGCTCGCAATCTCCATTCCAGTTCATCCCAAAGGTGCTCGATGGGGTTGAGGTCAGGGCTCTGTGTGGGCCAGTCAAGTTCTTCCACACCAAACTCAAACCATGTCTTTATAGACCTTATTTTGTGCGCTGGGGCAAAGTCATGTTGGAACAGAAAAGGGCCCGCCAAAACTGTGCCCACAAAGCTTGGAAGCATCAGCATTGTCCGCAAAAATGTCGTTGGTATGCTGAACATTAACATAGCCGCTTCACTGGAGATAAGGGCCCACCTAGCCCAACACCCTGAAAAACAGCCCCATACCATAATCCCTCGCTCCACCAAAACTTCAACCAGTTGGCAACACATTGCAAGGTCAGGGGCAGATAACGTTCTCCCGCATCAGCCAACACCCAGACTCCGACCATCCTGGACTGCCAAACAGAGAAGCGTGATTCGTCACTCCACAGAACACAATTCCACTGCTCTACAGTCCAGTGACGATGCGCTTTACACCACTTACGTCGACGCTTGGCATTGGACTTGATGATGTAAGGCTTGCCGCCTCTAAGTCCAATAGTAGTCTGCAGTTAGCGACCAGATCGCCTCTGTCTGCTGTTTGGTGTCGAGCAGGTAGTGAACAGTGGGTTTCTAGATCTTTTCACTAAAAACAGCAGATTACTGCAACTGCAAACTACGCCATGAGTACGGAGAGTAAACCAAAACAGTAAAGTTGCAACCGGACAGCTAAACCATGAACTGAAACTTTATATAAAGCTCTGTATGACAAGGGGATTTGCAGAGATAACTCTTAATCACTATGAGCAACCCCTTTCACACTGTCACATTGTTTTTTTACATTGTCTTTTAAAAATATTCATCATAGCTCCAATATTTTTCAATTTTTTTTTTTAATTGAACCATTACAAAACTGTATACAGCTGTGCTTATCAGTCCAAACTGATTGAGTTAATAATCCCCACTAACGCAGAGCTCACAGTGTAGAGAGTAACCCATATTTAACTATGACACATCTGTGCAAGATCATCCAAAGGCAAGTTAATTACAACTGGTTCATCCACACAGCCAGCCTCAAGTTGCTTTTACGGAGGCCCTCCTGAATCACTGAGCTCCTCACTCTGTGGCTCCAACATCCCTCCTAAAAAATGTCATGCTGGCTGATTGTTTCCTTGATCCCATTCCTTTCGCTGACATAAGCTCACCACCATACGTGAGGGTTAGAGTAAAGTCTAGTCTTCTCAGCTTCACAGCTCAGCTCTCACCATAGTCTTACATTACTGCAGTCACTCCTCCAATCAACAGTTATTCACAAAAAAGAAGTTGCCAAATACCTAAACACACATTCGTAGTTCAGTCCACCCTTTTCACAGAACCACTGGTCTTAGAGGTGCTGCTCCTTATCATATCTTACACATTGGAAAAACACAAGAAAAGTTGTAAATACTATTCTATTTCCCTGTGCTGTTAGGTGTCAGGCTCTTTATGTGTGCAGTAACTCAATTCGCAATGTAGCTGTCCTTGAGATTGAATAGGATAGGTTAACAGTGCCAGCACATACACACCTACACACAATAATTTTTCAGTCTCTATATATAGTCTCGTAGTGCGCGTGCAGGAAAGCTGCATGCTGCCTGTTACGTTGCCAAATATCTTCCCCCTGGGATTATTAAAGTATTTCTGATTCTGATTCTGATTCTGATATATGTATTTTCTATCTCTGTGAATACAATGATCACTCTTAAGATTCACATTCACATTTAAATGGATTATACTACCTAAAAGGAATAGTTTGTGCATTTTGAAGTGGGGTTGTATGAGGTCAGTGTGTAGATAGCCATCAGCACACCCCCAGTATGGAGAAGCAGACAGGAATCTGCACAGCTGTGGACATATTTTAGCCACATAAAAAAGGTAAACTTCAAAAATGTTGATATCATGTCATCTCATCAAGTGTTTGGCACAAACCATAAAATGTACGTATTGCTACACACATAAGCCCAACTGCATCACACAATATATTATTCTGCAGTTTATGTGGCTAAAATAAAATACTCCACCCATCTACATTGCTTATAGCTTCCCTGCCGGGACTCCTTTCAAAACTGGAGAGATGGCTGACCGCAGTACTTTCTGTAACACAGTGGCCATGGATAAGTACCTTATACAACCCCTCTTCAAAATGCTTGAACTAACCCTTTAAACACCAACACTAAATGGATTAGAACCTGTGGCTGAGGTCTTTACCTTGCTTCCTTACCTTGTGATACAGAAGGATTTGCTCAGCTGTCTCACCACCGAGCAGCAAGTGTATTACTTTTATGAATCTATGTGTTGTTATGATAAACAGAGTATTCATCCCCAGCAGTCCATTCATCCTGTTTGCTCAAATGAAATTGTTTGGATGCCAGTGATCCAAGGGGAAGCAGCAAATTCAAGCTTAGGAGTGATATACAAACCTGTTTTCTGGACAGCATTAAGAAAGCATACTATTCAGAAAAAAACTGTATGCAGCAACTATATATATATCCTGTTTTACTAGACTGTTTGGGACAGGGGATAACAGGCAGGCTGGACTGGTAAAAATGAGCATGCTGTCACATGATTGCTTAGTTTTGAAGTCCAAATTGTTAAAAAGTTAAATGGAAACATATCTTCTTACTTGCACTTTGAATAGCCTTGCATCCAACAGAATAAAACAAAAAAAAGCTGTATCTTATATTGCTAATTTTGTGTGTAGGTGGGATTGAACCAATCCTGAGAGGTATAATTGGAACTGCAGCAACAGCTGTAAGTGCAGACATGATGTTGACAGAGGAGCTTACAGAAAGGCTGGTGGTCCTAAATGTGCCACAGCACTTGGACCTGGCTGCACTGAACCTGCAGAGAGGACGAGATCACGCGCTCCCAGGTAAGTGCCGGCCTGCAGGTCTGTGCCAGGTCTGTGCGTTAAGACCATCCATTCATTAGTAAGCTTCCAATAACAAATGTCTGTCTGTCAAACCAATCCAAACAAGGTGATACTTTCAGACTTTCATCCCTTTGTACTGCAAAGGTCTTAAACTGATTACAAACTGCTTGAGAGCTCAATATGAATAAAATCCACAAAAACTATCTCAACCCAGACACTGAAGACCATTTCTTTGTTTTCTTTTACTAAGGTGGTTAGTGGCATGAAA